CCTACAACTTTTGCACATGGATCTCTTTGGACCATCAAGAACAAAAAGTTTTGGGGGAAACTATTTCGCCTTTGTGATTGTTGATGACTACTCTCGATTCACATGGACATTATTTCTAACTCATAAAAGTGAGGCATTTCATGTTTTCAAAACTTTTCTCAAAAAGGTTCAAAATGAAAAAGGCTTAACCACCGTAGCCATACGAAGCGATCATGGTGGAGAGTTCGAACGAGATCTCTTTACCGAGTTTTGTGATGAACTAGGCATCAAGCATAACTTCTCCACTCCACGTACACCACAACAAAATGGCGTGGTGGAACGTAAAAATCGTTTCCTTGAGGAGATGGCTAGAACGATGCTTGATGAGGCAAAAATTCCTAAGTATTTTTGGGCAGATGCCGTGAGTACCGCGAGCTACGTGTTAAACCGAGCCGTCATTAGACCGATACTCATGAAAACCCCATACGAACTATACAAAGGAAGAAAGCCAAACCTCTCCCATCTTCGAGTCTTTGGTTGCAAATGTTTTGTTCACAATAACGGAAAAGATAATTTGGGTAAATTTGATGCAAAGTCGGATGAAGGAACTTTTCTTGGTTATTCATTGCGTAGTAAGGCTTATAGAGTCTTCAACAAACGCACCTTAACTGTTGAGGAATCTCCTCATGTTGTCTTTGCTGAAAATGATGCTCGCTTGGCGAGAAAGGTTTCTTGTGATGATCTTATAGATTCGTTGGAAAACATCTATCTCAACGACGATGACGAAGTAGACGACTCAAAGGAAAGCCAAGATGAAGAAGTAGAGCCACCCGTAAACGAGGAACAACCACAAGAGGAGGAAACGCCAATGGCAAGGGCATGGAGGACTTCAAAGAACCATCCTCTTGACAAGGTGATCGGTGACATCAACCGAAAGGTAAGTACTCGTAGCTCTCTTAGGGACACTTTAGGTCACATGGCTTTTGTCTCTCCAATTGAACCTACAACCATTTCGGAAGCAATTGATGATGAACATTGGACCTTGGCAATGCAAGAGGAGCTTAACCAATTCAAACGAAATGACGTTTGGGAATTGGTGCCAAAACCCGATGATCACACCATAATTGGTACGAAATGGGTGTTCCGTAACAAACTCGAAGAAAATGGTATAATCACTAGAAACAAAGCTAGGCTCGTAGCTAAAGGCTACAATCAAGAAGAAGGCATTGATTTTGAAAAAACTTATGCACCAGTAGCACGTTTAGAAGCTATTCGCTTATGACTCGCTTTTGCTTCATCTATGGATTTTAAGCTATACCAAATGGATGTTTAAAGTGCCTTCCTCAATGGTTTTATTCAAGAGGAAGTGTATGTTGATCAACCCCCGGGCTTTGAGGATTTTGAGCACCCGGAGTATGTCTATAAACTAAAGAAAGCACTCTACGGTCTTAATCAAGCACCTCGTGCTTGGTATGAACGTTTGAGCAAATTTCTTTAGGACAACGGGTTCAAAAGGGGGAAGGTTGATACTACACTTTTTATCAAGAGTAAAAACGATAACATCCTCTTGGTGCAAGTTTACGTAGATGACATTATATTCGGTGCTACTAACGAATCTTTGTGCAAGGATTTTTCAAACTTAATGACAAATGAATTTGAGATGTCCATGATGGGGGAACTCAATTTCTTCTTGGGGTTACAAGTCAAACAATGAGGGAAGGGACCTTTATTTGTCAATCAAAGTATTGCAAGGAGCTTCTAAAAAGATTTGAAATGGATGGCTCTAAAGCAATGGCTACCCCAATGAGCACCTCCGAGCACCTGGACAAAGATGAAAAGGGTAAGGAAGTAGACGTAAAGAAGTATCGAGGTATGATCGGATCCCTTCTTTATCTTACCGCTAGTAGACCCGATATCATGTTTAGAATTTGTTTATGTGCAAGGTATCAATCTTGTCCGAAACAATCGCACTTAACGGTGGTAAAACGGATAATGAAATATCTTGTTGGTACAATAAACGTTGGACTATGGTACCCCAAAGGGTCTCCTTGTCATCTTTTTGGCTATTCTGACTCAGACTTTGCTGGTTGTAGATTAGACCGTAAAAGTACAAGTGGGACGTGTCACTTGCTTGGTAGTTCTTTAGTCTCATGGTTTAGCAAGAAGCAAGTCAGTGTTGCGTTATCCACAACCGAAGCGGAATATGTTGTCGCCGGTAGTTGTTGTGCTCAAATCCTTTGGATGAAGCAACAACTTGTGGATTATGGCCTTAGTATCGATCACGTCCCTCTTCGATGTGATAATACTAGTGCCATAAGCTTGACGAAGAATCCGGTTCTTCACTCAAGGACGAAACATATTGACATTAGGCATCATTTCATTAGAGATCATGTTCTCAAAGGTGATGTCGAAATTGAGTTCGTTGAAACACACAACCAATTAGCCGACATTTTCACAAAACCTTTAGAGAAAGAGTCGTTCTTCCGCATTCGTAGTGAACTCGGAATCCTTGACTCCACGATGATCTAAATTGTGCATTAATTATTATTTTTGGTCCCTACTAACTTGAACGTTGGAGACGTTTTTAATTCTTTTTTGCAGGGCTCTTTTTTAATTTTATTTTCAGGTGTCAAAGTCAGGGGGAACAAAGCAAATCGACTTTTTATCTCCAGACCTGGTGTAAATCGATTTACAGGCTTGTGATAATCGACTATCACAACCCACAGGAGTTGGAGCAAAGAAACTGAAGGAGCCAACAATCGATTATCAGCATTAAGATAATCGATTATCAGGGGCTGCAGAACTTTCTCAAAAGTCAGGCGCAAACCAGCAATAATCGATTATCAACTATAAGATAATCGATTATTTAAGCCTGCAGAAGTTAAAGGCAACTCAGGCGCAAACTACAACAATCGATTTACAACCAGGCAGAAATCGATTATTGAAGCCTGCAGTTTCTTTGGCGGAGAATCTGAAGACTCAGATAATCGATTTACAGGGAGTGTAAATCGATTATCAACGGCGATTTTTCAAAAATCTGACCGTTGCAGAGACGTTGGAGGAGCATTTAAACCTTGTTTGACCATTCCAACGGATCTCTACACCTCTTCCACTATATATTGGTGATATCTACTTCATTTTTATTCATTCCAATCATCTTCTCTCAATATATTCATCATAATTCATCATTCTTGCTATTATTCTTCATTTTTTTTCAAAATTTCTGCAATCTCTCTCTCCTCTCTTGTTGCAATGGCAGGCGGTCAAAGAAAGCGTTCTCGCACCGGCAAGAACGTGGCTTCTTCCTCGGCTCCTCCTTCACCGGCGCACAAGTACCTCGACGGGTCGTTCCTTTGGTTCAACGACCACGCAGAGGCGACGCAGTTCTCGGAGAAATTTGAGCACCGAGAGATTCTCCCTCCCCGATTCTCCACAGCCCGCTTCATTCATGACTCCACTCCACGTGAGGCACGAGTTATCCTCGAACGTGGAAACTTCCTCGACCTCCTCTACATCAAGAAGGTCAATTATCACCCCTTTCTTGTTCGAGCTTTCTACTCGAACTTGAAAAAGGATGAGGACGGAGCGTTGATCTCTAACGTCAACGGGGTGGACATCTATTTGAATGAGGAGAACATTCAAATCCTCACCGGGCTTCGTCGGGATGGACAGGATCTCGGGCTCTACGTTGGAGAAGAAGGAGCACGGTTCAACGAGACCGCTCTCTTGGAGGAAGTGGGCATCCGACACTTC